CCCAGCCCCTCTGAGCCCGCCCTGCACACTCTGGAGAGACTGGTTTGCAGCCCCAAGACCTGAGGATCGGGGCCCTAGTGCTGCCCTGGGGTTGTCCAGAGAGACCACCTGCCACCCCCACCCCACCCCCAAGTCCGGAGGAGGAGAAGGAGGAAGGTCAACACAGATGGTTGGAGCCCCTCAGAGTTGCCTCTGATCCTCACGACCTGCCTGTGCTCCCCTGCACACCTCCGCCCACTCACCTTCCTGGGCCTGAGGCTCCTCCTCATGATCTGATGCTTCTGGGGGGACAGATGGTGAGGGGAAATCACGTCCCTGAAAGAAGCAAGGGGCAGAGGTCACAGTGGGAGCTAGTGATGAAGGGTTAAAGGTTATGATGGGGTCATAGGTCAGGGGCTCCAGCTGGCTGCCCCCCGCTTTAGATTTAGCTCAGCCACCAGGGCAGGGCTGGCAACCAGCTGCAGGACCCGTTGGACCTGTACTTCACACCCCGTCACACTTCAGCGCCTGCCCTGCCTGGCTCCCAGCTCCCATTAGTGGGGGGCAGTAGCATCTGAGTCCTGGACCTCGACTGCTCAGTCCCTACTCCACAGTAATAGCCAGGTTCCGAGATTTTCTTAGAGGTCCACACTCCCATTTGACAGAACAGGATGACAGACACAGACCTGATTCTCAGGCTGGGTGTCTTTCCCAGCACATGCCACCTCTACTCTCCGTACGTTCCTTTATTAGTTCACTCAGCTACTCATCACTCACCTCTGCCTCACTAAGCCTCTCCTCGGGGGCCTTGTCTATGAGGAGTCTAGGAGTAGGGAGAAGCGGTTGTCAGGGATGGGACCCCAATGACTGGTAGGCACCCCCCCTCCCCCCGCCCCGGCACCACTGCCACTCACCTGGGCTCCAACTCCTCTTCAGTCTCTTTCCCGGCAGCCTCGGTTTCCCTACTGCTACCCAGAGCTTGTTCTCCTGCATGCAGGTGAGAAGCTCTGTGAACCCCCTCCACTGAGGGGTAGCACTGAGGAGTGGTACCCGACCAAGGCACACAGTACCAGGGGCAGCTGGGATGGGACCCAGGGGCCCTCTACCTGTCCACATACACTGGGTGCCCCGGCCTGCACCAGGCCTGCCCTGCCCTGAGGATCTCTCACCCTTGGAGCTCTTCTTCCTGCGGATAGAGGCTCGGACAAGGTCAGAGCCAAGGTGGGCATGGTGGTGCCGGCGGGCGCGTGCTTCCTGGAACCAGTCCCCCGTCAGGATTTTCAGCTGCCCAGGGTCTGCCAGTGAGGCCCGGAGCTTGCTGGAGGATTGGGAGGGGCGGGGGGCATGGCTGTTACCATTCACCCAGCCAAGATTCCTGCTACCCACCATATGCCAGGCCCTGTACCTGGGGCCAGAGACACAATAGCAAATCAGACTTGATCCCTGCTATGGAGGAGCTCAGGCTGGTGGGGAGACTGAGTCCAGAATAGACAAGTATATTATAGTGAGGTGGGTGCCAGGATGGATATAAGAAGTGCCAGTTTTGTCTGTGGGAATTCAGGAGGACTTCCCAGAGGAGGCAGCATTTGAATTGCCTCTAAAAGGACTAACTGGATTTCTTCAGGTAGAGAAGAAGAACGTATTCATTAAAGTGACTACTATGCCTAATCCCTCCTAATTTTATAAGGTAGGACTCTTTAGCCCCACTTTACAGATGAGAAGTCGGGTGAACAGCCCAAGGTTACATCACTAGGAAGTTATCTGTCCCCAAGCAGTACTTGTAAGTCCTGTGCTCCTCTGCCTCTGGGCTCTTCCAGGAAGAAGGAAGGAAAGGTGGGTGTGTCAGGGACAGTGGAGCACCTGAATGGCTCTAGTGGACACTGTGTGTCAGGGGTGGTGGCTACTGGTGGAAGATGAGATGGGGGAGGCTAGCAGGGACCCATCAGGAAGGCCTGTGGACCAGGCTTAGGAGCTTGCCCCTGACACATGATGCTGAGGGGCCAGGAGAGGGTTCAGCAAGGCATATGAAGGACGGATCCGAGGAGCTCCAGCCGCAGTATGGAGGGTTGGCCGGAGTGGGCAAGGCTGGAGGCAGGGAGGCTGGGAGAGGTGATAAGCAGAGCTGGCCAGGGGTACAAGGAACCAAACGGCAAAAACAAGAACTACTCAGATATCTGACAGGCTGCAGGTTGGTGGGGGCAGGGTGGGCCCCCCGGTGCCTGAGGCCCCCGCCTCTCGCCCTGCCTCACCTGACGCGCCCCTCCTCCAGCTGGCGCAGGTGGGCATCTCGCTTCAGGACCTCGGCAATGGCCTCCTGCTCCTCCTCTGTCAGGAAGCTGAGGTCCAACAGCCCATCGGCCTCGGGCTCTGGCTCATGCGCCATGAGGAGGTAAGGTGGGGCCCAGAGCCCCTCTTGAGATGGGTGGCCCCTTTGAGGCATCAGCTGGGGCAGTGCCCCCACTGGGCACACATGGCTCCCTGGGGACAGACTGGGGGTCAGGTCAGGTCCTGCTCAAATATAGGGCACATCCTGGAGTTGACTGCCTCTTCCTGCCCAAATGTACTCTAGGTGGTGGGCAGGATACCACCCAGGAAGGCTGAAGTCAAGGTGGCATGAGATGCACCCTTGGACACATGTGTACACTATACCGGGACACATGCGTACACATTGACACATGTAAATACATCAGTCACACATACACACTGATGCCTGTACAACGACAGGCACGCACACACCTGTTACTCCATGAAGGGCCCTATGTGGTCATGCCCAAACCAAGAGATGATCTAACACAGCTTTAAGCCTGCACACAGGCCCATGCCCACAAAGGGAGGCAGGACCCACAGGGCAGGTTCACCTGTACAAGAATAAGTCCTGGGACAAAGACTTGTCCCTAGATATCCACAGACCACACAGACTTTTGCACACACAGTGCTCCCCCAGCTGGACTGTGAGCTCCTTGAAGGTAGGGACAGGCCTTCACCCCCAAAGTCAGTACTTTGCACACAACAGATGGTTGGTAAATGTTTGATTAATGAAACATTTGCACACACCTGGGGCATGAACACACACAAAACACATACAGGCACACACATATCTGCTCACCCCCTGTCCTGGAACCTCCTAATGTGGGTCCCCTCCCTCCACCCTTCACCTCCACCCTGCCCTGGCCCATTTGGTCTTCCTGTCTGAGGCAACCTCCTCCCCAGTCTACACCCCCAACTTCCTCCCCCCGCACCGAGGCAGAGGCCGCACCCACCCCCTCCCACACGCGCAGGGCTGGGCTTCAGTGCTTAATTTCTGCTCTTACGGGGCTCTGATGCACAGGCGTACATGCTGCCAGACCCCCTGAGCCCCTGGCTCTGGCCACGTGGGTCCCACACCCTCCCGGACCCAGGACTTGGCTAGGGTCCCGGTGGTGGAGGCCAAGTGCTGGCAAAGCAGCTCCAGCTGCTCAGGTAGAATGGTGACTCCGGAAGCAAAACATTTGCTCAGCTCTGAGGGGCGTGTGGACGTGGCAAGGGGCCCATGACTGGGCCACGAGCAGAGCAGAGCCATGGTCTGAGCCCACTGGTGGTCTCTCACATCCCTCCTGTCCCCGCCATGCCAGGGCACCAGGCTGGGCTGCACGGGAAGGCAGGTCCTGGCTTGTGCCTGCTGCCCGCGCCCTGTGCCCTCCCGGCTGAGTCAGTGTCCAAGCCCAAGGAGCCCTCTCCCCGGCTGCTCCCCCCTCACCTGGGAGCCTGGGGTTCCTGCATGTCTCCGTCAGGCATTTGTATGGCCTGTGTGAATGCCTGCACGCTCCGCGTTAACACTAGCTCCTGCACATCTACTGTGTTCAAGGTACTGGGTGTTGCAAACGCCTGGTTTGGGGCTCTTCTGTGGCTGCTGGGTGAGCCCATGGTGATGTCTCTGTGAGTTGTGCTGTTTTGACAGTTGGCCAGCAGGCATGTCTGGGTACTGAGGATCGAGAAGACTGTATGTTTTGCTGGTGTGAATATCATATCACTGCCTGTGTGTCATGTCACGGTGTGATGCTGACTGGTGGCTGTTGTCTGTGTGATGTGCTCAGTGACTCCCTGGGTGATAGTGTTGCATGGTGTGTGCACTGTGTATTTCCTACTGTGCTGTATGTGTAACTGAGCTGTGTGTTGCAGTGTGTACTCTGGAACCCTCAGGACCACCAGGTGTGTGTATGTGTGCGCGTACACACATGTGCGCACACATGTGTGTGGAGGTGAGAGGACATTCCGTAAAACTGACCCTGCTCTTGTCTTGTAGGTCTGCCTGGGGCTGGGCAGTGGGCACCTGAGCTCAGAATCCCCAGCAGCACAGGCCTTCCTGCTGTCCCCTCTCCTTCCAGAGGCAGAATTAACAGGTCCTTCCTGCTCTGTTTCAACACTATGGGACAGACCCATTGGTCAATACAAGGGTTTCTCCATCTGTCTGGCTGTTCCAGTCTCAGACACACTCCTGCACCCCCCACCCCCAAGGGCCCAGAGGGTGCTCAGGATGCCAGGTGGCAGTGCCTACCCTTTGGGACACTGGCAGGGGACCCCCGTCCTGAAGCAGGTTACCTGTAGGGATCCAGTATGGAGGGGACACCTTCGTAGGTGGCCCCCGCTCCCCTGGCAGCCGAGTTTCAGGGACCAGGAGAAGAGCAGTGAGGGACTAAGGCTGACTCAACCGGCAGCCCCACTAGGAGGAGGAAACACCTTCTCAGGAGGGCCTGATGCAAAACCGGGCCTGGATTCTGGTTCCCCGGGGGTGCGTGCGCCCTAGTCTCTGCTTTCAGAAAACCCAGAGCCGATTTGCTGGGCAGGAGAAGCCTGGGACTTGGCCCCAGCTCCACTGCCAACCTACGGTCACTCCTGTCACCCTTGGGCCTTAGCTGCCCCATCTGTAGAATGAGTAGCTGCCCACCCTACCGCTGAGGAGCTGATGGGAACTTGCTTTGAAAGCAAAGTTAGAAGCCTTTATAAGAACCAGGGTAATGGAAGGATTGCCCACTGCAGTCAGACAGCCCTGAGTAGCTCCTGCTCTGCCACCATGTGACTTTGAGCAGGTCTCTCAAGATGAGCTGCAATTTCCTCCAGTGCAAACTGGGCAGCAGAGTGCGAAGGGACTATTATAAGGGAAATGAAAGTGCCTGGCACAAGCTGGCATATAGTGGGTACCAGGTGATCCCTCTCCAACATAGTCCCTTCTCACAACCACTGCCCCTCTGTGTCCACATATGCCTCCTGGGAAGTGCTGGCCACGGCAGCGGCAGCGAGGCTCCCACACCCTGTCCCTGGGGAATCCCTTTGGGCATCCCATTCTGCTCCCAGATTCTGCCCTACCCTGCGAATGGCTTTGGGCCCTAGATTACATTTACTTTAAGACCATGGACCAAGGCCACACAAAAGCTTTGAGACCCCACAAGTCTGCTTCATTCCACTCTGCCTGTCATGCTGCTTGGTATGGATTGTCCCTTCTTGGTATGGATTCAAGGACCAGACCCCAAAGAGAGGAGGTGGGGCCAGAGAGGACTAAATGACACCCCACTCCTTTCCTCCCTCATCAGAACTGTCTCCAGTAATGTTATCACCACTCTGAGCACCTGTGGGTCACTCATCTACCCCAGCCCAAGGTCCATCCTTCCCCACTTTTTCCAAGTCAGTTTTCTTTTCTGAGCCTCCTTTTACTGATCTGTTAAATGGGGGTAATCCCTTCATTTATGGTTTTCACTACAATTCAGTGAGATCCCTTCATAAATAACCATATGCAGGTACCACTGTCCTCAGAGCTTTACTGCTGACTACTCCCTGTCCCTTCACACCCTGGCCATCTGTGTCCCCTACCCCCACTGCGGAGTGCTTCCCCAACCGCGGTCACCGCTTGTGGGGCATGGGCTCAGTGTATGTGCGCTGTGGCCAGTTGCTTAGTGCCCCAATCCTTCGGAGAAACAGCCCCTCCCCACTTCCCTCCTTGTGCCCCAGCGATGCCATCTCACAGGGTGGTCCCGAGTGGGGGCTGCAGAGCCAAGCTGCTGGATTTGAACATGGTGCTACTTGTCCTGCCTCAGTTTACTTCTCTGCTTGTTTGTTCATTGGTAAAATGGGGCTGGTACACTGACCTCATTGGCTCCGTGACAAGGCTGTCACACAGTAGCTGTCCTCAGTAGCTGCTGAGTGATTTTCACAGCACCTGTTCATGTCCTTCCTCTGCAAGGCTAACTGAAAATCCTGCCGGGCAGAAGCAGGCCTTCAAACGTTTCCCTATTTTGCTCTGATTTTTCTCTGTACCGGAAGTCCCCCTCCCCCCCTCCCCCCACCAATCAATTCTCAGATGGACCCCACTATGCAAGAAAGATGTTTGAAAACGGAATTTTTCTGAAGTGGGAAGGAACTTCAGGCTTGGAAACCACAGCACTGTGGGTCTGGGGTGAGCTGGGATAGCTGATCCAGGGCTCTGAGGGCCAACAGCTAGAGCCGTCCTCAAAGCCATTCTCAGGATGAACACAAAGGGCTCAAGAACCAGAGACCAAATCCTTCACTAGTTCAACTAAGTGACACACGGCATAGGGCAAGGTTAGGACACTCCTCCAAGGACGGGACCTTTAAACTGGGCTTGGGAAGAAAGGCCATGATTTTAACACGGGAAGCACAGGACTGAGGTGGGAGGAGGTTGGAGGGCAGGGCGTGTGGAGTGGAGAATGCAGGGCCCAGAGGCCACAAGTGGAGGCAGTGGAGCAGGACAGCGACTGGATCACTGGGGTCAGCACAAGGAACTTGGCCATGTGACTGATGAACATGGCAGGAGCCAGGGGCTGGGGTTCTCTCAGCTTATCCCAAACTGTAGACCCGTGGGCTGTGGTCTGCTCAGCCCCAACCCCAGTCCTATTGCCAAGTTCCTCTCCACAGGGAGTATGGGAAGGATTTCAATGTTCATTTGCCTTGAAGAGAAAGCTTTGGGATGGTGGGTGAGGGACTCCCAGAGCCTGGGCCCAGGGCAGGATACCTGGGGGATGCTCCGACCCTGTAAGCCAGGCACTGGGTGAAGACTTAACCAGACCCCTTGCCAGGGGCAGAGGTACCCAAGGACACCAAGGAGATACGAGTTGAAGAAGTGAAGGGAGAAAACAAGGACAAGGCACTTTCTCGAGTTAAAATTCTTTATTATCCTGTCCAGGGAGCCCCCCATAGGAATCCGTGGGGAGGGGGGAGGGGCAGCACAGGCCCTTCCCACAGCGAGAAGAGGGAGCCCTGGTGAGGAGGAAACAGCTCCTCTCAGCTCCGTGATGGCGCTGGCTGCTCTGGCACATCTGGGACCCAAGGGGTGCCATCCCCAGAGTGAGGCCCACACCTGGGGCTGGGGCCAGGCTTTGTTTCCACTGCTCTGGTCTTCAGGGTGTCACTCTGGACACATCAGTGTCACTCATCTCTCCAGCCTGACTGGGGGGGCCCAGGCCCCAATTAGCTGAGGGATGTGGGCTCAAGTGGGAGCTGGGCCCTGGGAGAGTGGGTAGAAGGGGCTGCATGGTCTGGAGGACCCCAGGAGATGGGGCACAAACTACCCCTAGTGCAGCTTCTGGCCAAAGGGGGCCATCCAGCTCTGCTGGACCATTCCAGAGGCCAGCGGAGAGGCCCAGGTGGCTTAGCTTATGGAGACTTCCTAGTGTTTCTCGCCCACCCCAGGACCGAGCCCTGGCAGAACAGGCTCCAAATCCAGCTCTGACCCGTTTGGTGGCTCCAAATGCCCTCCCCTCCCCACGAGGCACTGAGCTGAGGCAGCACAGGAGCAGCTACAGGGAGAAGTTAAAGCCTTTCCAACAGATGGGCAGAGAGGGTGCCTCAAGCACAGGGGTCACCAGCCTGGGGAGGAGGGCACAGAGAACTTCTGAGTGACCAGTGAGACACAATACGCACTGCTCATCCTCAGCCTATTCCAGCCCACCTAGCCCAGACTCTTGGCTCAAAACCAGCAGCAGGCCCACCCTGCCTTTTGGGGAGAGGAAAAGATCTGGAACCAAAAGGAGTGGCAGGTCCGGGGCCACGAGGCAGCCATCACCGAAGGTTAAAGACCAGGCTGGCAGTTAAGATGATGCCCAGGAGAAGGACGAAGGGTAGCCAGGTCTTCACGAAGGCCCCGACGCTGAGAGGGGAGGGGAGTATTGGTGGAAGGGCCGGGTGGGTGAGCCACCCCAAGCCCCATCCATCCCAACCCAGGAGGGGTCGCTGTCCCCAAGGAAGCTCTTGGAACCATGCCCTCACCCCATAATTTGGTCCACCAAGGGACCGGCTGGGCCTGGCACCCGCTATGGAGGACTGCCACCTACGGTCCTTGGCAGGAGATGCTCCAGGCTCCTGGTGGAGACGGGACACCTCCCTGGGTGGGTGACAGAAGTGCCCACCTTCTCTAGAACTTACTGGTTCCATCCACAACCACCCCCGTCTCTGGGGAGAGGTCTCCAGTCAGAGGACCAGGCCCTTGTCTGGGCATGAAAGCCAGGAGCACCGGCTGCACACAGCTTTCCTAATGGGGCCCCCGAGAGGGGAGGAGTCAGCAGGAGTGAACAGTGTTGTGGCTGGAGTCAGGGCTCTGGGTACAGCCCGGCTCTGCCTCAGTGTGTGCGTGGCCAGTTACAGGCTTCTCAGGGGCCGTCTGAAAGCCTCTGGACTGTAAAGACTCCCGAGAGCCTCCATCTCAGAAGCTCTCAATGGTGAGCACAGCTGAGAAAAGCCTAGAGAGGTGGCGTGGCTGCCGGGGGCGTGCTGGCTCCAAGTGGGCAGGTCACTCACCCTCTCCGAGCTGCCTTCATCTGTGAATTGAGACTAACACCTTTGACCTCACACGTCATGAAGCTGTGACCTCCAAGGTCCTCCTGAGCCACCACTGGGGCCCACCTGCTCAGAACCCTGCCTCAGACGCTGGAAGCTGGGAAGGGACCCTGTGGGGCCGTCACCCGCTCTCCTGTGCACCCACAGTCTCACCAAGGAGCCAGAATCATTACCCCCATTTTACCAAGAACAGCTGCAGCTGAGAGCCAAGGCAGTCACCCGAGATCTCACAGTGAGCAAGTGACAGAGCTGGGCTTGGGACCCGGTGCAGCTGACCTTTAGCACAGCCACCTCCTTGTCCACCAGGAACTGAGCTAGTTCTTGTAGAACCTTCAACATCTCCAAGGGGTGCTGGGAGGTGGGTAGCTCACCTGACATACTTCCCATAGAGCAGGCAGAAGAAGCAGACTGTCACCATGTTCCAGTTGGTGCTATTGTTGTAGCGCATCAGGTTCAGGGCCAACGCCACGTGTGAGTGGCAGTTGTCACAGCAGAGATTGTGCTGGATGCAGGAAGAGGGGGTCATGCCGGGCTGTGGGGGAAGCTCCCACCCTGGCTCCCACCCCCAGGAGCGGCTCACCTACCATGCGGTGCTTGTACTCCTCAGAGGCGTCGTGCACAGCTGTGTCCCACGCATTGGGCCCGCTGGCGTATACCCGAGCAGGGTCCAACTTCCAGTACCTGAGGGGAGAGAGGGTTCTGGGCGCTGGCTCAGCTCCACCAACGTTCCCTGGTGCCCGCTCTGTGCAGGGCGGAGCTGGGTATTGGAATTGTAGGGGAGAGCCAGGTCCAGGGCCGTGTGACAGTGTGATACGCCCAATGCCAGGTGGATCCTGGGGAGGACATGAGCTAACTCAGCTGGGTGA